TATGCACGAAAATATCTTAAGGTTTTTAAAATATAATTTATAATTCTTACATGATTTTTGGTCACAAGAAATATTTATAATAATCTGAGAACAATTTTAAAGGCATGTTATCTAAGATGTGATATGAAGGTCTGTGCTATATGATAGCACTTATGATAAGAAGATAAGATAACGACCTCACACTAACACAGAGGTGAAATAACGATGTGTAAGTAATGATGGATTTCCTCATTGTCGCTTTGTAATATGATACTGCTTCATAATAAGGGTTCTTTATAATAAAGAAAATAAATTGAATGTCACTATAAGATATGGGTTAAAATAAGTTATATTTTTGTGGTCTTTTGATTAAAAATATATTTTAACATACTGAAAATGTGATTTAACTATCCGTATTCGGCTTCGCTTATAAAAACGAGTTAATTTTTTTAAATAACCAAATTAGATTGAATTTTATCAGAGGTATAAAAATAGTAATAACATATGAATAATTTTAAAATAAAAGTACAAAAATACGAATTTCATATGTTTTTATATCACTTTAAATTAAAAGGTAAAGAAAAGAAAATAACAATACAAATTAAGATGGTATAATGTTCACTGAGTAAATAATTTTTGTTGGCCGTTAAGCCATTTAAATCAATACCACGAATAACGATTAAATTTTAGTCGATATTAGTTTGAAGTGATTAATATATATAATATGATACAATTAATTGTTTTATGGTAGTCGTGATCAATGGCTGAAAAATTACAGAATTTTGAAGAAAAAAAAAATTCATCGGTCAGATTTTCCTAACTCCAATCCATTGTTCGAATTCTATCGATAATCACTAGACTTAAAATGAACTTCAATTAATAAATTAATTATTATAAAAGATGTACTTGTATCCTTATGAGATCTTAACCAAACTATTTTCAATTATCTATTGTATGCCATAATACAACTCATTTTAAGCTAAGGGTATAAGTTTCAATGTAGTAAAAAGTTTTAAGGAATATCAGGAACCAGACCTTCTAAAATATTAAGATTACAATGTCATATTGATATTAACATTTATTAAACATTAGGGACAACATTTTTCAACTATCTTATTTACATATGATTATAATTGTGACAAACAGCTAAAGATAAACAAAAATATATACTTACAATTAAGAAAGTAAGAAACGCAACGTAGACAATATCATCAAACAGATGCAAGGCTTCATAATGTCTGATGCGTCCTGCCTCTGGATTGCTGCTATGTTGTCACCATCTGGAAATACAATAACAGTGTACAATTTATTGTTTTATTGACATTCTAATATTTTTTTATCCACGCCCACCTGGCCTTTTAGGCTGTACGGGGATTTTCCCGGATAAGGGAGAGAGCGTAAGATTAATGTAAAAGTTAAAAGCTTCTCCGGAACCGGAACGCGAACTCTTAATTATTTTTAAACTTCGGTTTATTTTATCTGGTAGCCAAGAAACGCATAATTTGCACACGCGTTAGCTCGCTCGTCCACCCTCCCCATATATATATGATAATAGTGCATACAGGTGCAGAACGTGGTGGGTATGATCGAATGATCCCCTCCTTGGTTAGCTAATATTAATTGCTTGGCGATCCTGAAAAATAAATCTTGACACTTCTTCTTTGGTTATTTGGTTACTATGTGACGAAAACCTCTAATAGCCTTGTGTTAGAAAAAAAGGTCCAAAACTGCCACTTCCACCAGTACTAATGTATAAAAAACAGTGAACATCAGAGTTAAGTTACTAAAGTCGAATTATTGACGGTCGCCAAACCAAGCTCGTTTCAAACAATATATTCCCACAAAGTTAAAATGAAATATAGGAACAGCATACACAATGGATGATTAATTGCAAAAGGAGGAAAACAGCGGCCGCTTTTCCAGGTTTCCTTGTAGATCCATATTAGTTGTACTTTTCCATCTTCAGGTAATTTTATCTGGAATTTTCCAATAATTGTAAATATAGATATAACAGGGGCTGAGTTTTCACAGCATTTTGTAAGACAGATAATAGCTCATGCATCCGAACAGGTTCCTCAGGCAAACTTCGAATTTACTTGATACTCAACTGTATCTTTTATGTGTTCCTGAGGTATAATTCTGGAGGTAGTCATATCTCGGGAAAGATGCTCTAGTTATGTGTATGATAATCATAAATTGAACTGTGTCACAGTATTTACTCGCACTAAAACGAGAAACACAGACAACTACTCTTCAATTTGTACAGCCAGTCTTAATGTAGTAAATAAATAATAAATCTTTATCCTTTGATATCTGTTTAATTAATGAATTAGAGATATATGTTAATATGAACTTTTTTGTTTTATTGAATACATACTTGAAATTGTGCCGTATAATTACGACACACCCTTTCTATTGACGGGATACATAAAGTTGGAAGAAAAAATATGTATGTTTTTTGGGACTCAAATGGCTTTTGAAGCGAAATATTTCGTCCCACTATCAACAACGTAAAAGACATTGACTGACTGGCGTATTTGAAAACTTTATTAAAAACTGCCTATCTTGTCATTCTGTTGGAGCAGAAGTTACTATCGATGAGAAATTTGAGTCCTTTAGAGGCTGATGTTCATATTGTGATGATGTTTGTATAAATTATCTTAAATTCAATGCAATCCTATCATAATTGCTCCTAGTATTCAATGATTTTTGTGTTCGTATTTAATGGTAGACAGAATTTAATGGCCATGTTCCTAATTTTGTCGACGTATTTTCGTTTTTATTTTTAATATATATATTTTAAATTATATAACTGTGTGTTTACTCGTTAAATATATTTCAAAAACTCATGTTATATCTTTTACTTTCAGTACAATGTGAAATTTTTGGTGTTTTTTATCTATAAATTAATTTAATAAAGTGGATCTCACAGATCCGTACCGTCATTCAGAGCGTCGGTCTATTAGCTGTTGATATTTGTCTTATGAATCCTATTGCAACTTGTATGGTTCTGCTTTTTATAAATCTGCTGCTTTTTTTCGGTTATTTGTTGTTTTTTATTCGCACTAATATGACTATAAATGTTATTGTTAGTATTACTTTTATTTATTTATATATTTTCATATGTCACGGAAGTGGCAATTAGCGAAACTTCTCAAAAAAATATAAGAATTTCATTTCAGGCATGAGAAAGGACAATACCCAGAAGTATCTCTTCCCATTCTTGATTAAGTTCCTTGATTTTTGAAAAGAGATCTCCCATCTAGCTACATTTTAATCATCTCTTAATGGGCGTTTCAGCCGCAGCCATTTCATTAATCAATATATTGTTATATCCGTTTACTTTATTATAGAAACGAGAATGAAAAGTGAACGAATTTGTTGTTCAAGCACTTTGTAGTGTTTTGGTTGTGTACGGACCAGGGAGCTTTTGATATTAGTCTTAAAATTTTGGATTGAAACAATTTTATTTTTTGTAAACATTACCATTGTTGGTGAAATATAAATGTATGGGCTGAATTAGTTCTGTGTATGTATTTAGTTTTAATTTAATATTCCGTTTTGTTATGTGAGGTATTTATTTTTATTTTAACATGTAGACCACACGCAATCGTTTTGTCTAATTTTAGTCTAAGATAGCTTACTGTCTCCATTTGAATTTGGTTGTCAGGGATTGTCAAAGCTAGACAGATGTTTCGTCAAAGTGTGAACGTTATGTTTTGTGATTTGTCCTGATTAAGTCTTATTTTTAAGATTGGATAATATTTTTGTGAAGGGTCGTTGTGTTGTTTTAAATTTAGTATAGTGTAGGTCCGTATTTTGGACTTTGTAGGTACGTCATTCATAAACTGCTGAACATGTAGTCACGAAATTCATAACTTTTGAGACAATAAGGGCCTAACTATTGATGGAAACCGTACTCTACATCATCACGGACGATGATTTCTAACAGCTAGGAAAGGATTAACGAAGTTTCAACCTCTGCTAATAAAAAATAGCGAATAATAAGAAAAAAAGTTTGACATGTGAATATATAATATATAGTAAAAGAGCTAGTATAGATCATTGTGATGCTCTTGCTAAGATACATTGCATTTATATGTAAAATACATACATAAAAAATGGAATCTTAAAACATTTCTTTTTATTAAAATGTATTGACTGTTTCATAAATACATTTATATTCAATTTTAATTATAATTCTTTTTCTATCTGATTCTATCTAGATTAGTTCACTGCCAAATAGAACAAAGAAATATCTCCTAAGACGCCAGCTTGATGAATAATGCTTTGCCATTATACCGTTTTCATAAGGAATCCGCTTAGAATTACAGGAGAATTTTCCTTGACTGTACCTTTGCCTTCCATTTATCTAGGCTTTGAAACTATGAGCTTGAATTTCTCTTATAAACTTTGATGTGTACTTCCCTCCCAGTATGAGAACTTGGAAGTTTGACGAGTAGAAACTTGTTACATCATTTTACAGGCTATATGGTTCTGATACCAAGACTTTAAATCCGTCACGAGATTATCTCATCTCACATTTATAGTCAGCAACGCAGTACCTTTTATAGAGATATATAGAGATGTTTAGGAAATTGGAATTGAATAGAAAATAAACCTTATCCTAGGAAGAGGTCCCTTATGAATAACAATTATGGACAGACAATAAAAACCACATCTGGCCAGAAATTAAATGAATCGAAATTGAAGAATATTTAAGAGGCCTAGTGAAAGTATATTAAAACAAAAAAAAAGTAACCCCTTTTTGAAAAATATTATTTAATTGAAAAGAAAAACAGAAATCAGGTAAAATAAAAAACAAATGTAATAAGCACTATGGGTTTATTCTTAAAGTTAAAACACAAACAATTTCAACAACCATTCAACTCAGTCAAAATTCGGTTCATAATATTTATTTCATTGTACAACGTTGTTTTGTGATGTGATATGAATTGGTTGAGATGACCTTTGAATGAGAACAAGGAACAGGCATGGCGGATATCAGATGGCAAGGAATTTCAGAAACCAGTGGATCGGGCAATAAAGGAATACTCACTGCTGACCAAAGACTGAAACCAAAGGATAGAGTTGTTGGAGAAGGATAGAGATTTTAATTTAGTGTCGAGTATAGAGTGGTCTAAGGAGTCAAAAGGTTTGGAAAAGTCAAGAAGTATTAACACAGCTAGTATTTTTTCGTCAATTGCAGTATGTTCATCCGTTCAGTATCAACTGAATTCAGATTATGGGCATCTAGTATACTGAAGGCAACTTGTCAGTGACCCGAGATTTATCCTTACAGAAAAAAAAAAAACCTACCTACCTTAAACAAGTAGAAATTGTGGAGTATAAAATAAAGAAATTGTGGATATGCATAAATAAACGAGAATTACAAAGGTAACACTGGACTTCAGTATCAAAATAGTGATATACGAGCAGAGCAACAAATTCATCTTCACGAATCTATAAATTAACAACTATATTTGGATATTGCTACAATGTTATACACAAATATATATGCAGTTATATTCTAACTTAATTTACTTTGTAGGCGTTCCGTCTAAGGGTTGCCTCACAAAGTCAGCGCAGAGCTCCAAGTGATTCTATCTCGCAAATCCTCTTCCTCCAGACCTCCATACGCCATTACCTCTTGGACCCACCCCTTCATCCATCTGCTTCTGAGCCGTCCACGTCCTATCTTTCCAGGCTAAACTCAATCCAGAACTCTGCTCGGCCAACATTTCTCCGCTATTCTTCTCACGTGTCCATACCATCTTACGCAGCGTGTCCAGATCTTTGCATTAACTGCTGAACCCAAATCCATTGTCTGTCGAACTACCTCATTCTTAAGTTTATCAAGCCTTAAAAAACGGAGACCTCTTCTCCAGTAATCCATCTCGACAGCCTTAATCTTTGAGTACAACCCAGAGTTCATGGTCCATCTTTCTGAGGCATATGTAAGAACAGCTTCCACTATAGATGTGAAAATTCTACGCTTGTTATGAGGAGCTGCATAGTTATTAAAATATATGTATATGTATTTCATTAATTATTACATGTTTCTTTTAAAAGCTTTATAATATATTCTATTGAATCTAAGTATTTTAATACAAGTTCTGTACATCGGCTTATTTTGTTTTTTTCAAAGGTTTGATGCTGTAATGTACACTATTTTACTGTATGCTTTGTGGTTAACCGGGATTGGCCAACATCGCAATATGGTTGGGCCTCCTTTATAATTAAACTAACATTGAGTCAGGTCAGTATGACTAATTCTCATCCTTTTCACTGCCAATCTTTCTATTTTGTCTCCTCTTCCAGCACTTATCCACTGTCCTGCATTTTTTTTACTCGATTACTCGATGGAATTTTATTCCACATGGATTCCCTATTTTTCCGTACTCTGTATTTTAGCAATGATTTTATATCACTCGGTTCATATGTTTGGAGAGCCGGGATATTCATATAAGCAGCTTCTTTAACAACATTGTCCGCTGCCTCATTCCGTGTATTCCCGTAGTGTTCCTTTATTATTGATGTAATTTTTTTAAGATTGTTTATAAATTCGATGTATTGGTGGATTCTGTTTATTTTTTATCCCTTATCACGTCGAAAGATTCAATACTGTACTGTGCCATCTACACCTATTCTGATTGCAGGTAGTTTTTGTAGTAACTTATTTTTTGTTGGATCTGTGAAGTTTAGGTCAATATTAATTTAATTTAGTCTCTGTAATTTATCTAGTCAATCTAGTTTCCAATTTTGATGATTTAACAGTACTTCTAGTCGTTTGTTTAAAGTATATAATTTCATTTTGACGTTGGGCCCCAGTTAATCCTTTTAACTAATATTAGTCTAAGATAACGTATTTTGTCCGTCTAGAGAATATCTTTGTCGCCGTTAATTTGATAGACGCTGGTATCGTCATGGTGTGGTTGTTATTTGCTGTTATTTGATCTCATTTTCCGTAGAAAGTACCTGTTTAGTAAAAGTCAAACATAAAATATGATATTATTCGTATAAAAACTCAAGTTTTTTAACAAATAACAGATGGTTGAGAAATAGAAATGTCTGCTGATCAAATTTGTTTTACATTTTATAAAAAAGAAATTTTCTTATTCTAATAAGGATCACCTAGTCAGAGCTTAAAAGAACAAATAAACGACTTTTTTTATCTGATATTCCTATTCCCACTATTGCATTAAAAATGAAATACTATTAAAAACAGAATTTCTATGAATAGCAATGCTGTTAGCAGAAGAAGATAATTGGATTGGCCGATAACCTGAAGTTTAGTTAATTTTCTCCGCGCTTGTCTCCTACGTGTTTCATTATATATTCTGAATATGAGTTATAAAAATTTAATTATATCCTTAATTAATCCAATGACATAAAATTATAATATTCAATTGCATTATCTCTATAGGAAAACCAGTAGCATATATAAATTTCAAGACTACCCAATGACACTTTATAGTTATTATCATATTGCACCAACCAATTGTAGCACTAATTGAATTGCATACAACAAGGTGATGTATCGATCGCTGTCTGTAGAAGGGATGCATGTCTGTTCCAGGAACTACTGTTATTGATACGTCTTGTCAGGTCCGTATTTGATTCTAGTATACGAAATTCTGAAATAACGAATATTGTCACTACGCAAAATGTATGTTTACCAAAAAAGCTATGCAGCAGGCAAAAACGACTTGCCAACGCATTCCAGAAAAGCTAAAAAATATTAATCTAGATGTTAATCCTGAAAAAAAAGCATAATATTTTCATTCCAAAAAGGAAAAAAAAATTACAACTGAATTCAGAATTAATTACAGAAGTATTAAATTATCGACAAACATTTCAAATTTACAGATCGTTTTGATAGAAAATTTAAACCAGTAAGATCTAAGACATTTAGGCTCAAAAATTTAATCAGGACACCAAGCATATTTATATCACTGAAGCTCCTCGTCTATTAAACCATGATATGTCTCTGTTGTATAGGGTAACGCTCTTTGAACATGTCAGCAGAACTATTGGGAATATATTTCAAGAATGGGATAATCAGAAAAATAATAAAAGGAACCTCAATCCGAAGATTAAAAACATTCTATATCCAGTCATTTGTAAAATTACCTAGATTTAAAGAATTCCTCATTATGTGTAAGGAATCATTTTTTTTAAAACTATGAATAGTTGGCTAACCCTATTTTCAACAGCTTCATACCAGCAAACATTCCTAAACGTTGGGAACAACTAACAAAAGATTAATTTTAAAATTTAGTGGTACGAGAAGAGCTAGAGAATGCGAGAGAATGTAATATTTCTCAATGATGAGTTGAAAAAAAAAGTTAGTAAGATTTAGATGGTATAGTCAATTCAACTCAGAGCTGATCCCAATCACCAATATGTATCAGATTTACATGAAACACAAAAATACATAAATATAAAATACAACTTTCAATGCTTTTCGTAGCGAAAGAGTTATAAATTTATCAGAAGTGCTCTCCCCCTCCCCCCAAGAAAAAAAATACAGGTAATATGAAAAAAAGGATGTTTATGGGCAATCTGATTTCCTCTTTCCTCAAAAGAAAGTATTTATTTCTCCTATTATCACAGATCGAACGTTGAGTTTTATGAGTTTTATTATTCTTGAGTTTTATGTGCAGAGATGCAGTTAGCGAAGGATACGACAGAATATAAATATTCAATTTTTATTTTGGTTCTTTTCAAAAATACGTTCTAATACAAGGAGGCTCTATAATTTACAAAATGATGATTTCTATTAAGAATTTTCTAACGTTCTTTTATAATATATTGAGTTTTGTCGGTAAAAATTATACATTTTCGTGATTTAAACAGGTATTCTTTTTTTTATTTTATTTCGAATAATCAATATATTTATTCTTTGATACCATTTAACATTTATTTCACAAGTTCTAAAAATATTGGCAAAAAAAAATATTTTGTGTTAGTAATAATTATATATATGAAGTATAGTACATTATAGGTGACTTTAGTATAGGTGTAAATATGTTCTATTACTTTATATCAACTCGTTATGTTTTAATAATGTTGTTTCATTAATAATAATATATATATATATATATATATATTTGTTTCATTAAATGTTTCTTTTAAAAAAAATCATTATTATTATAACATAGGACAATTTCATCTAATAGAGAATTATTTTATGACAATTGTTTAATTTATCGGCGGCTATTAATCGTAAATTCAAAATGCCTGGCATGCAAATTGTATATTGCAGATCTTTCCCACTTATGTTCATGTAAACATAGAATAAATATATAATTTAAAATAATAATAAGGAAATGAAACGAAAATAAGCTAGTTGTAAATATTCACATGTGTACTGTTATTTAAGTACGGGGCAATGGTACTACGTTTTCTATTAACCGATAAGCTATGCGGGTGAAGTAGAGTGGTAACGCCGTTCATGGCGACTCCTAAACATATGTTTTTATTTTTCGCTAAATTATACTTGCAAATGTTACAGATATGAGTGAAAATCTGCAAACGTTATTTAATTTGGATCTAGATTTATAACAGCAGTTACTTGGTAGGTAAACAACAAAACTTTACATAACGATTTACGTCAAGCAACTATCGACCTACACATACGCGACATCAACTCCAGATTCCATCTTAAACTACACGGACATCACAACGGACTTATTAACGACATTGCCACAGCTGGCATGCCTATCAGGAGACGACTAAAGCGGAGCTGGATGAGAAATCTCTTTTCTTAAATTAAGGAAATAAATCAAGACCAGGAAGAAGTGCTGCTGGGTACTATTTTTTTCCTCATGCCTAAAATGTCAATTTTTCGTATTAGTTGCAGCACATCTGCTTATTGTCAAGCTCGTGAAAGGAATGGATGAAAATATGAATATTATGAAAATGTGGATGAAAATTAAAAAAGATAAAAAATTCAATTCCCAATAGAAATGAGACTGATGACATGTAGGTGACATATGATAAGGTGGACATGACATGAATAAAAACTTGTATTATGAGCAGACGCATGCAATTCGCATAAGTGTAAACAACAGATACATGATGGGTATTTATACTTGAAAATGGCTCGACGAGCCGAAACATCGTAATTGAGATGTAGTCATTAAGTTAACAAAATTAAAAATTGGTTTAAAATTGGCTGACAATAAATAAACTTGAAAATAAATAGTATGCACCGAAAAAGAAGAGAGAAATATTGTGATATTTTTTTTAATGTAACAGTATATAAAACATAGTTAGAACAGTTTTCTGATTTAGCAACGAGAAAATTCATATATATTGTTATGTAATGACTTTTTGCAATAATCCGACAATATACAAAATTATTGCTATTCATTTTATGGAGATATTACATAAAAATAATAACTCATACGCGAATTATAGCTCGTGGAAGAGACTAAATGATATTTTTCATAAAAAATTAATACTCTGAGTATTTGCCTTCTATACGTTTGATATTTATGTGTATTTAAAGAATGTTATGAAAATAGTTATGTGAATGTTATGTGTATGAAAATAGTCAATCTTCATTTACATAACATAAAAGGTATTTACCTTTGGGGAAATAGCTTTTAGTCTTATAATAAAATATATAATTTGTCATTAACTGTATTGTAGTATTATATGATCTCAACATACCATTGGACACGAAGACATATACCGAGTCAGGCCTAGTGTTGCTGGCTCTGCAGGAGTAGTTTCCAGAGTGTTTGGAACTAGCCCTGGAAATGACGAGCTTGGAGTGTGTCTTCTCACCGCCGCTCTCAGTTGTCACCCTCATCTGTGTCTCTTCTTCTTCGTAGTTGATCATGTTGTCGTTGTGGTACCACATTACAAACTGCGGAGGGCTTGGGCTCTGAAACAAAATGGATTCTCTAAGGTAATTGGTATATTTTTTTGAAAGGATTAAAAAAATAACCATATGATACGACGACACAGGAACGGATTAAGAAGTAGTTATTTTTCTTTTTTTTTTTAGATGTTATATTTTGTAAGGAAGAAAACTCTAATTATTTAAAATCTATTGTAGTATGAACAGACGTGGGAGCTAATTAATCACGTTTATTCTTCTACAAGGATTAATTTCTCGCAAGGATAGTCAATTTAACTAACGAGAGATAATTTATTCTCGAGTATCGGTCCTAGATGACTTTTCTCCTCTTGTAGAACAGTCAATGCAATGACACGAATTACATTTATTTCCTCAAGCGTAAATTCATTAATAGTTATTTTCCTTGTAGATCATGTCGGTGTTGTCTTGAAAAATCCACAGGCAAAAACTGAGAATAAAAAAAAAGAATAAAATCAAAGGGTGATTATTGATCATTCAAAAATAACCGGATGAACCAAAATCAAAACTAAAAAAAATGTTGTAGAGATGGTTGACCGTGATATTAAATGAGAAGGAGTTTTATCGGAGGAGGGGGTGGAAGGGAGGTGCGGTCAAATAAATACTAAATTATACAAATAGTAATATTTTATTTTTGCCGACGTTTCGACCCCCTTTGCAGGTTTCATCAGGGCTACAAAAAATACAAAACATGGTGAAAATAAAATAAATGAATACAAGTAGATATAAAATTAAAAGAAGTTGTCTGATAAAGAAATCAAAAGGTGATATCAGAGATATAGTGGTTGACAATATACTTAAAATATCAACTGTTATATATTTATAGAAGATACAAACAAAAATGGAAAATAAGTATGAATAAAAATAGAAAACAAAGGAGAATGTAGCATTTATGTAAAAGTAAACAGATTGCCTGATGATCAATTTGTTCACAATACTGATTAATTATTAATAATTAATAATTAATACTGATGGTCAATCTGTTTACTTTTAACTTACATTTAAATTACATTTTCTATTATAAGTTATTATATATATATATATATATATATATATATATATATATATATATATATACATATACATAATACTTGATATTTTAACTACATTGTCACCCACTATATTTCCGATATCACCTTTTTATTTCTTTATCAGACAACTAATTCTTATTTTATATCTACTTATATTCATTTATTTTATTTTCAATCTTTTGTAGCCCTGATGAAACCTGCAAAGTGGGTCGAAACGTCGGAAAAAATTAAATAATACTATTTGTATAATTTAGTATTTATTTGACCGCACCACCCCCCCCCCCCCCCGAACAACTCCTCATAAAAAAAAGTGTTGCTTTTTTAAGGAATTGGCCCAAATAAAACCAATGTTCTTCTGTTAAATATATATTTTTTATTATCTTTCGAAATAAGCGTTTATAAAATACACTTTTTAAAGAAAAAATTCTCATTTTCTAACAAATCTAAACGATAAAACATTCACTCCTATTATTTAAATTATTTATTGGACATTTGATTATTTATTAGAAAAATATTCCTCTATGAATGCCAACTGTGTGGGTAATCGGCAAAGTAGGAAGTTTAATACCGATAAATATACAGTTAAAACAAAAGATACCGCAGAACTACAATTATAAGGGGTGAACCATCAACGAGGTCAGAAGCTGACTGGAATGAAAAATAAACACCACAAGTATTCAATACGTTAATGGAATAGTTCCTTCTAGCGAAAAACCAAAGGGCAATTATCTATCTCAGGATACTAATCATTTTGTACCCAGAAAAACGATTATTAAAAAGATCTATTTATTCAGCGTATTGCTCTTTAATTACTGGACTGATTCGGTCTCAATACAATTTTTTATGTTAGAGAGCATCATTATTAGAGACCTTTTCACACCTTCCACCAGAAATATGGAAATCTGTACCTGCTGCTTTACCTTGGCCTGGGGGAGAGGGCGTGGTCATCCCTTAGGCTGAGAATATTCAGCCAATCAGGAAAAAGACTACCAAAAGAGAGGGGAATGAAGAAAGGTGGGAAATATAGAATTGGGACTGAGGACTTCCTTTTGGGACTCAGAGGAGCAGACTTACTTTTGGGGCTCAGCGGAAGAGACTTCTCTTTGGGACTCAGCGGAGGAGACTTCAAGCGGGGGAGTCGAGGGAGGAAGACGAAGACAGCCGGAGAGAGCAGATGGACGGACTAGACGCTGAAGGAGAGCAGAGACAGGGAATCCAGATATGACGGCTAGAAACACTATGAAGGACCAGCTAAGTGGTAACAAGCATTTAGTTATACTAATGTAAATTTGTGTTGGCAACCATACATCATTAATTAATATAATCAATATAACACATGTAACTTTAATCAAACATCAAGCATTCTCCTCCAGTATGATTCTCAACTATTCATTATGTATAAAGGTTTAGTTATTATTTTGTATATAGATGTTTTTGGTTTTATTTAAGCTTGTAAATATAATAGTTAGTAAACCAACGTAGTACTTTTACCATCTACCTTGCATGCCACCAGTTAGATATAGAACAAATAGTAAATTTAAAAACATGATACCTTTAGAAAGGAAATGGAATAAAAATTATATGGTTCAATCTAGGATACTATAGTAGGAGATCTGTGGTATCTTACCTTTAAATACCTAATTAATATATTTTTCTGTAGATCGGTTCCCTTCTGGAACCGATATGAATACAAATATAACTATTAAATACAAATTAATGTGGTTCCTGGAACCCCCTACTCACCGTAGAAACGCGAGACCAGGAACATAGCACTATCAAGATTTTCATATTATATCCTCGAAAAAAACAAAAAACATTTTAAGGCATAGACAACAAAACAAATCATTTTTGTAAATAAAATAATAACATATAGTAGAAATATTTAAAAACTTCTTGTAGTTGTTAAACACATTTCGGAACTGGAATTTTTTTTCAGAAAAAAATTCTTATAAAAATGACAAGAAGTATAAGTTTTTGCAATTTTAATTTAACAAGACCAACTTCTCACACACACACACATATATATATATATATATATATATATATATATATATATATATATATATATATATATATATATATATATATATATATAAGTTAAGCGTCTCCGGGCTTTAAAAATAAAAAAAAAGAAGGAAAGAGGAACGAGAAACAATAGTCACGGCTTCTGAATAAACACTGCTTTATTCGTCCAATAATCTGCCTTATATACAATCGCTATGTTTATTTACATTACAAGATGGTATTAAGGCTGATATCGCCAGTCTCCGGTCTTTATCTCCCCCCCACCAGTTTACGAATAGGAGTTTCGGAAACTTATAAATTCCCAGATCGGAGCCACCGGTATCAGCCTTAACCCTTTACAATTATTTGTACCAGTATAAACTTAAAGTACACCAAACCTCACTTCCACTCCGCTGGAACGAGAAATAAATAAAAAGAAATAAACCACAGAAAGTAAACACACAACGTCTTATTAACAATGGAACAGAACTCTTAATCCTATAAAAATTACAATCACCTCTATTATGCTGCCATATCTTTATTTACAAGAACAACAAAAATAATTAAAAAAAAAATGACATCATCAACAGTAATAATAATAAAAAAAACATATTTTTTTATAATACGCGATAAGGGTACTACGAATCAATTGGTTTCTGTACCGGTTCTAACATTGGGAGCTTCAATTGTTCAATATGAACAGTTCTCCTCTTCTTAGGTTCGTTAATGCTTTCAATGGTTACCAGATTATGCTCCCTAATAGCAACCACTCTGAATGGGCCCTCGTACCGTAACAATTGTTTCCCTCTGTTGGTTCCAATTCTACGATACACTATTGTTCCGATTTTTAATTCTCCCATTCGGTCACGTACCTGCACATTCTGCCGCGCTACCCGCTTCTCCTTTTCCCGCTGAATTCTCCCCGCTACCTTCCCCCACGTCTTTCCTACCTCTACCCTAGTATTCTGGATTTGCTCTACGAGATGTTCATTGGTCGTTGTTTCCCCCAATCTCTCCTTGGCCTGCGCATCCCGAATAGTATTTCCACAGGTGAAAACCCCGTTACGGAGTGGATCGAATGGTTGTAAGCTGTTACGGCTTTCTTCATCGCAACATCCGGCTCCAACCCTTTCTCTCCCTGATATACACGGATGTGGTCACTCAACGTGCTGTGCAAGCGTTCGATTCCTCCTCTACTCTTAGGGTGTCCCGGTGTGTTATAATGCCACACAACCTCTAACCTTTTCACCTCCTCCCTAATCGCGGTATTGTCGAATTCTCTACCACCGTCTGATGTGATCCTCTCGGGAACTCCGTAAAACTGTATCCAGATTTGTAGGGCTTCCGCAACTGCATTGGCAGACTTGTCCATGACCTGATGTGCCATAGCTACTTTACTAAAGGTGTCGATGATCGTGACCCACTTGAACCCTTTCCAGGTGAATGTATCGATCTGGAGGTCTTGTAGCGGCATATTCCCTGTAGGTGTCTCTTCCTGAACTCCTCTGGGGGGGTGTCGATCATACTTTGTGCGCATACATACCTCGCATTTCCCGATGATTCCTTGGATAGATTTTTTCATTCCCCACCAGAAATACTTTCGCCGTAATGCCTGCAACGTCTCGTTGACGCCTCGGTGGTTGGTCTTCCCCTGGTGGTATGCCAATGTAATTGCTTGTTGCTGCTCCTCATCCTGTACGGTTTCCACTGCATACTTGCACCGGATGATCGTTCTATCCATGCCTATCCGCTCGGATCTCCACATCCGCTTTATTTTCTCCCATACCGTGTTGTTCCCAACATAGAGATGGTGTGTCTTTCCCGGTTCCGTGGCGTCCTTCAGTGCCGTACGGATTTGCTCCTCGCTCACCCCGGGTTGCGACCAAATGACGCGAATCCTACTTTTCCCGTATCTTCGGTAATCTATTTTCATGATCCCTGTTGTCCTGGTTTTCCAGATTACCTGTCTAT